CTCTGTCACCCAGGTTGGAGTGCAGTGGTGCAATCATAGCTCACCGCAGCCCCGACCTCTTGGGCTCAAACAATCCTCCCACTGCAGCCTCCTGAGTAGCTGGGACTATAGGCACACGCCCCACACCCAGCTAAGGTTTTTTGGTTTTGTAGAGATGGGGTCTCGCTGTGTTACTCAGGCTGGTCTCAAACTCCTGAGCTCAAGTGGTGCTGCCACTTTGGTCTCTCAAAAGTGCTGACATTACAGAAATGAGCCACGGCACCTAAACCATCAATGACTCCTGAGGATGGGCTAGCCCAGGAGAGCAGGAAGAGGAAGCTACAGGATTCATTCCACTTAGAGGAGGCCCTGAATGAACTAACCCCCTCTACACACTCCCCATACTAAGCCCAAATCAGCCAGTCCCCATCTGCATCCACGCCCCTGGCTCTCCAGGCTCACATGCTCCCTCCCCCTGCAGCATGAGTGAGCTCAAGGCTGACTCAGAAGTGACACCCAGGTGACTTCTTAAGCACCTCAGCCGCCCCAAATCCTCATCTGAACAAACCCAGCCCCATTAATTGAGATCAGTGGGCCCTGGGTGTGATCAGCCCTTGGCACTGCCCTATCATCCTCTGCAGGACGTGTTCTAAATGGGTCAGCAGAGTCCTTCTCAGGATTATGGGAAACTGGTCCACGAGGAAGGTCTGAATTGGGCAGACTTTGTCAGAACAGAGGTGGGGAGAAGGGAAAAAGAGCAGGGGAGGAAGATTATCAAAGGAAACTAACTTGCCAGAGTCATCAGTGAGTTGGTGCAAAGCTCAAAATCAAGATCAAGTCTAAGACTCTTTCTCCACCCTCCAGGTCGTTCTCTTCTTTCTTTCTCTCTCCCTCCCTCCTTCTCTCTCTCTCTGGTTCTCCTTTCTTCTTTCCATCCATTATTTGTTCCATAATCATTTACTCGGCATCTGTACACTGTCATGCACTGTACTAGGTTCTGGGATATAGAACTGAACAACCCAAACACACTCTTTCCCTAGTGGAGCTTATATTGTAGTGGAGGAATAAAGTCTTAATAAATAGAGTAACACTAATGTAATTAACCATAGAGGCACAGTGGCTCATGCCTGAAATCTCAGCACTTTCAGAAACCAAGGCATGAAGATTGCTTGAGTCCAGGTATTCAAGACCAACTTGGGCAACAGAGCAAGATCCCATCTCTAAAAACATTTTTTTTAATTAGCTGGGTGTGATGGCACACACTCAATAGTCCCAGCTACTCGGGAGGCTGAGGTGGGAGGATCGCTTGAGCCCAGGAGTTCCAGGGTACAGTGATCCATGATTGCTTCACTGCACTCCAGCCTGGGCAACAGAGTGAGACCCTGTCTCTAAAATAAACGATAATAATAATAGAGGCCATTTAATTATCTATATGTATATGTGAGTGTGTTTATTATATATAATAACTCATCGAACCTTCCCAACAACCCCATTTCACAAAGGAGGAAGCTGAAACACAGAGAGGCTAAGACACTTGTCCAAGGTCACATAGCCAGTACAAGGTTGGGGAACCTAACCCAGGTAGTTTGGCTTTGGAGTTTCTATTCTCAATCACCATGCTCTGCTACCTATGCCTAGAGCAAGAGGGAGCAAGGAGAGAGGAGAGACGACAGATCACCTGAAGTCAGGAGTTTGAGACCATCTTGTCCAACAAGGTGAAACCTCTCTCCACTAAAATATAAAAATTAGCTGGGCATGGTGGCACACACCTGTAGGTAGTCCCAGCTACTTGGGAGGCTAGAACCATCTGATTTGTGAAAATTAAAAGATGGTATATTATGTTTCATGCAGGCAACTCTTTTATAATTCTTTTGTGTTCTTGGGGGTCATTGAGGTAACAGTTATACCCTCTTTTCCCCCAGCACAGATTTGAGGACAATCAGTGGGCAGAGGCAGAGTGAGCTGGGTGGAGAAGGAGCCTGCCCATTAGGTAGACTCCTGGTTGGCAGTTATTTACTTGTCCTCACTGTGGCTGGTTTATGGGAGGCACCTGATAGTCACTACTCCAGAAATGCTGGTCAGGACAAACTCATCAACACACCCAAGAGCAAGCATACAGTGGTGGCAGAGGTGAAGCCACAGGAAGTCACACACGGGTCACCCATGAGCCTTTTCCCATTTGCCAGGGCCAGGGGTCACTTTGGATGGGGCAAGTCGTGAAAGGCATGGTGTCCTCTGCCAAGGAGATGGGAAAGGTGGGCACAAGGCTGACACGTGTTGATGGAAAACAGCCTGGAGGAGCACCAGGGTTCTGCCAGAGCCACCTCCCCTCTCCCTGACTTTTCCTCCCCACCTTGGCAGGTACAGTGCTGTGCGCCACCTTCTAGCTGACTTGGAACAGGAGACCAGAGAGGCCCTGAAGTCCCTGTATGGCTTTCCAGAGTCCCGGAAGCGCCGAGAAGCAGAGTCCTGGAGCTCTGACTTGGAGGGAGCACAGCCCAGATTCTCCCACCGGATCCCACTGCTGCTCTTCGATCAGGACGAGAAGGGCAAGGTCAGGGACTTCTTCACAGGGAGGAAGCGGAAAGTCAGCGGGAGCATCATTCACAAGGCTTCAAATGTCATGCACATCGAGTCCAAGCAGGTGGTGGGATTCCAACTGGTAAGATTTCACCTTCTCACTGCTTAGTGGCATGGGATGGGCTGGGTCCAGGGACTTTTCTCCTTGGCCACTATCCCCTATAGTCCCACCGGAAGAAATATACCCAGGTAGGGTCAGGCTCAGTGGCTCATGCCTGTTATCCCAGCACTTTGGGAAGCCAAGGCAGGTAGATCACATGGGGTCAGGAGTTTGAGACCAACCTGGCCAACATGGTGAAACCCCATCTCTACTAAAATACAAAACTTAGCTGGGCATGGTGGCACATGCCTGTGGTCCCAGCTACTTGGGAGGCTGAGGCAGGAGAACTGCTTGAACCTGGGCGGTGGAGGTTGCAGTGAGCCCAGATGGTACCACTGCACTCCAGCCTGGGTGACAGGATGAGACTCCATTAAAAGAAACAAACAAACCAACAAATAAAAAATGGGGGGTTGAGGGACAAGGGGAGGGAGAGCATTAGGACAAATACCTAATGCATGTGGGGTTTAAAACTTAGGTGACAGCTTGGTAGGTGCAGCAAACCACCATGGCACACGTATACCTATGTAACAAACCTACATGTTCTGCATATGTATCCCAGAACGTAAAGTAAAATTATTTGGAAAGGGGAGGAGAGGGGAGGGGAAAGGAGGGGAGGGGAGGAAGGAAGGAAGGAAGGAAGGGAGGGAGGGAGGAAGGAAGGAAGGAAGG